GGGTTCAGTGATTCAGGGCTTAGGTTCTAGGGTGTATGGTTTAGGGTTTAGGGGTGTAGGGTTTAGGGGTTTAGGGGTTCAGTGATTCAGGGTTTAGGGATTAGGGTTTAGGGTCTAGGTTTCAGGGTGTATGGTTTAGGGTTTAGGGGTTTCGGGTTTGGGGTTTAGGGTTTAGGGTCTAGGTTTTAGGGTGTATGGTTTAGGGTGTAGGGTTGGGGGATAATTTGCTCGTTTCCCCGAATCCTTGTATTCAGGAACCTTACGGGGTAGTCTCAGGAATTCTCCACAGGGCATTCTGACAAATCAAGTCGTGCTTCTACATGATGTCCGAAAACAAAAACCTACGCCCTCAAGTGACTCAAGTTTAATCTAATGCCAAGGTCAAAGTACAGTCTCCGTTGGACCCCTAAAAACTCTTATCAGAGCTTCTAACCCCTCAAAGGTTCCGTGCTGATCCCCCACGACTTGGGGCAAGACGCATTGAAGCTAAACTGCCTGACGACATGTACGGTACTTAAAGGATCATGGGACTTAGTAACTAGGGTTATAACTAAGGTAACTATACTTGTACTTACTTGTGACCCCAATTAAGGTACTTATAACCCTGCTTGCTAAGTCCCATGATCCTCCAAGTGCACTCCTGGAAGAACGCGCAAGCCGGTTCCCTCGGTAGATTCTCGTCGTTCCCGATACGTGCAACGCGTCGCGTTGGGCCGTAAAGCTGTAGGGCTCTGAGTTAGGGTAGGTCTAGAGTGTTCTTGAAGTTTGTGGTTTTACGATATAAACCCTACGTAAACCCTCGAACCCAAACTTAAACCCTATACTTTCAACTCGTAGATAACGTAATGAGAAGATTAAGCCGGTTCAGGGACTCGAGCCCCACCGGTGGATTCCCAATGCATTTCAGCCAGAAGCTCCTAAAGACAACAACAGCACAAGCTAAAATGAACCGAGACCTCTAAGTAATCAGGCCTAAACCTTAGGCCCAGATACCTGATTTTAGGTATTCTAAACATGGTATGTAGCCTGTAGCCCTTTACTTTAATTCCAACGTATTCCAAGAACTTAAGCCCCGCTTCTCCTAAGAAGCTTGACAAAACAGGATCTCTGAGATAATGTGGAGAAAGAACCCTATATACAGCTTTAAAGAGCCATGTACTGGAAACATGATAAAACAATCGTTAAACCCCTTGTAAACCTCTTAACAAAACCCCTCTGCAGCCCTTTACTTTACCCCTTAGAATACCAGGGCCCCAAACCCTAAACCCTAAACCCTAAACCCTAAACCCTCAACCCTGAACTGCTAAAGCCGAAACCCTAAACCCTAAACCCTAAACCCTAAACCCTAAACCCTCAACCCTAAACTGCTAAAGCCGAAACCCTAAACTCTAAACCCCTAAACCCTAAGCCCACAACCCCAAACCCGAAACCCTGAACCAAAAAATCCTCCGAGAGAGAGAATCAACGGAAGCTTCCCAGAGCCAGGTCGACGAGCTGGTCTCGATTAAGAAAGCGCTGATGCCTACAAGGCATACTCTGTCTGTGTGTTTTTCTGCCCTAAACCCTAAACCCTAAACCCTAAACCCTAAACCCTAAACCTATCTATGTGTATATATATACATACTCTATGTATATGGGTTTAGGGTTTAGGGTCTAAGATTCAGGCCTCAGGGTTCCGGGTTTGGGTTGAGAGGCCCAGGGGTAAAAGACCAGGATTCGGGGTTTGGGGTTCAGGGTTGAGGATTTAGGTGGGTGGGCGCTAACTTTAGCATTTATGCATTTGGGATTTTAATTTTAAGGGCTGGAAATTATTCTAAAGGGTTCGGGTTTTGTTGATTTTGATTGTTTTTTCATGCTCTCCAAGGAATTATGGCCCGATTCTGTGAGAACGTGTGGCTTTAGGGCTTGAGGGCTCTAGCTCTTGGGTGGGAATCCCTTTCGTAAGATACCACCCCTAAACCCTTAAACCCCTAAACCCCTAAACCCTAAACCCCTAAGCCCTAAACCCCTAAGCCTTAAACCCCTAAACCCCAAAACCCAAAAACCCTAAACCCCTAACCGATCTGCCTAATCAGCCGAATTCTCGGTTGCAGCGTTTTCGAGGGTTTGTGGCTGGGACTTACAGTGAATCCCAGAAAGTTGGAACATGGATCTACGATGATTCATGCTGGGTTTCCCTATACTTTACCTTAAAGGCACGATGATGATGATGATGATGATCCAACTTTTCGGCTTCTGCTATAGGTTTAGTTTGGGTGCTTCGGGCTTTTGGTTGGGCGCTCGGGGCTTGATCCGTTCAGGCTTGACTCGTTCCCGCAGTGGTACAACTTGGGTTTAGGGTTTAGGGTTGAACTTACATAGATGACGAAGACATGGAAGGAAGCCTTGCATAGGAAGACATGGAAGGAAGCCTTGTATAGGTTGAGATACATTCCTCAATTAAGGCTGCCGCACTTTCCCAAACCCCAACCCCCACAATAACAGGACCCTGAAAAACACTTCTATGGAGCCGTCTTCGGAACCCATATAGAGCTCTTTTGGAAGATTTGCAACGCCCCAAACCCAAAACCCTGAAACCTTAATATCTGCTGTTGCGGAAGAACCAGAAAATTGGCCCCTCACCCTTGCAGCCTTCGAACGAAGTGCGCGTGATGATCTAAAGGAGGTAGTAGTCCGGGCAGACACTACCACCCCAGAGGTGCACGTGCCAGAATGAAGACCAATTTTGTTCCCCAGGGGTCCGTATTATGTACCAAAACCCTATTCTAACTCTTAAGGCCCTAATGCTAAACGAAACGCTTACAACCGTAACCGTTGTAGAACTCTTAGTTAAAGAACCGTTTAAGGAGCCCCAAACCCTGAACCCTTAAGGAGCCCTGAGGCCTAAGGCCCCTCTCGTAGGTTTAGGGTTTAGGGTTTAGGGTTTAGGGTTTAGGGTTTAGGGTTTAGGGTTTCTAAACCTGCCAAGCTCTAAATTTTTAAGAACTCAGGCTGCCTCAACCCCAAAGACAAGGTTCCCAAGACCTGCGGGTTCAGGGTATGTGATTCAGAGTTTATATGGCTTAGGGTTTCGGATTTGGGGTTCAGGGTTCAGAAATTTAGGGCCCTAAACCCTAAACCCACAACGCACAACCCTAAACCCTACACCCAAATTCAGGGTGTAGGATCTCCCCAACAAGACTTTATAAACCTCAATGAAACTCCGAAACATACAACAACTCCATTGAATGCCTTGCGAAAACCCTGTAAAGCCCATATTCACCTTGATTTAAAACTCACGAATATAGGGGCCTTAATAGTTAGAATAAGGTTTTGGGGCCCATTATACTATACATATGATAATAAGGAACCCCAACATAGTATAGGTAAGTATTTAGGCCCCTACATTATAGGGAACCCTAAATCCTAAACCCCAAATCCTAAATTCTAGACCCTAACATGCTTCGGACCGTTTAACATTCACTCGAGTCGGAGGCAGAGGTTCGAAAAGCGGATCAGCTTCCAATTCTGCTCCCCGGCGGACGAGATTGGGGAGACCTTCACCTTGTCGGTGCTCTGCCACTTGGCTCAGCTTTAGGGTTTGGGGTTTGGGGGTTTAGGGTTTAGGGGTTTAGGTTTCTTTTTTGTAGCATCAAACTAGCCCAAAAGCCTTCTATACTAGGGGTCTTTGGGCCCAGAAACCTAAAAATATGAGTCCTTGGAGGGTAAGGGATGGTACTACAGGGCTTTAGGGGCCTTCAAGACGCAGAGGGCTTTTTTTACAGTAGAATTGTGGACTTAGGTCCCAACAGTAACAGAGCTCCTGGTATGGTTGCTGGTATATGTTCACCTGTAGGTACGATGTTCTGGTGTTGCTATCGCCAAAGTATAGAGAGCATGGCGGGACCATCGCCAAGTATACCGACTCGGAGATTAGCACAAGCCAGAAACTAGTTTAGAGGTTTGGCACTGCCCCACCCTACTAGCAGTCGGATAGTTGTTCCCCTATTAAAAACCCAACCCAGGAAAAGCACAACAC